CCTAAATAAGGTGTGTGTGTGGGGGGGAGTGTCCCTTTTTTCCGTGTCTGATCTGTTGGAGTAAGTCTTTGATCTGCTGTGTGTTCACAGGATGGAGAGATTGATCTGAAGCTTCTTACCAAAGTTTTAGCCCCAGAACAGGAAGTACGAGAGGTGAGCCTGTCATGAGGCGGAAACTAGAAGAGCTGTTTCTGCCGGCCTGCAAGTTCCTCAGACAGGCTGTACATGGTGCCTAGGGCCTTATTAATGGGGCAAGGGAGAGAACCTGTTTCAGTTGGATAAAGTCAGAAGAGATTTTGGATTTCAGGGATTACCAGGGCCCTGAATGTGATACCAGATCTTATGGCACCATTTCCAGCTGGGTCCTCCCTTCTGAAAGAGCTAACACAAAGGGATTATTAGGGACTATCTCTCACTTGGGCACAGGGCTTCTGATGCAATCAATGTTCTATTGCATTTTGCCTCTATGAGCCACCCTCAGCTCCACTGGGGGGGGGGGAGGCAGACGTATATGGGGTGTCCAAGCCTGGAACAACAGGTTAGGAGAGACGAACACCAGCAGAACTGGGTAAGCTTAGTGGAATAGTAGGAATGGAATAGCAGGTTTTCTGCAGTTAGGACTGAGGTGATTTGGCAGAGTTGCATAGGGGCATGGGTGGAGATTTTACAGCCTCTTCCTGCACTTGCCTGGTTCAGTCTATAACTTGCCTTTTGGGGTGCATTTTAAAAACATAACCTGACCTGTTAACATATATAAATTGTGGCAGGTATTGAAACTGCCTTGGGATTTCTAGTGCTCCTAATAGAATCTAGGACCTGGCCCTAATGCTCCTTCTGCATTCAGAGTGGTAGCTCTCTCTCTTGAGCTGTTCACCTGGCCATTTAGCAGCATTCAGGGCCTTTAGGTGTCACCTGTAGCAATTCAGTATTTTTTTTCTTTTCTCTTGATAGGAGGATGTCTGCTGGGACTGGGACCATCTCTACACGGAAGTGTCTTCAGAACTCATGACTGAGTGGGACCTGGGACAATCTGAGAGAGATGAGCACTCGGGTCTTTCCAAGAACATCTGAGCTCTGGCCAGCTCACCACTCAGACTCAAACAGCTGTAAATAGCGCTAGTTATTTTTTTATCAACTCTTGTATTTGAGAAAATATTTCAGATATGAAAATAAAGGAGATGGGAGCACAATAGGAAAGTGGTCTTTGAACATTAATATTCTCAAAATGCCATACTGAATAACTTAAAATTTAAAAAATGACACATGAACAGTCACTTCCATTTCTCTAGCTCTTCCTCTCAAGATGTTTCACAAATTATTGCTGGAATCTTGTCCTTTGCTACTGCAATGCACCCTGTTCTGGGTGCACCTGTATAGCACCTGTACTACACACACATCAGGGTAGGACAGGAGAAGGATAACATGGCTTCCTATTGAGGCTTCCAAAGGAGTTTAGGTCAAATCTACCCAGGACATTGAGGTTACCATCTTTCTCGCACAACAGATGCCACATGTGGTCCCAGCCTAATTACCCATCCAGAGGTAATTCCTCCAACAACCCAGCATCCTTAGTCCTGTGCTTGGACAGGCCTAATCCGAACTACCTACTCAGTGCCGCGTGTAGCTGCGGGCACGGAGTCCGAACTATTGGGGCTTTAAAAATGGCGGCGCCCGGCAAAATGCAAATGAAGCCCGGGATATTTAAATCCCGGGCTTCATTTGCAACTTCGGTTGCCTACATTTAATAGTTTGAACTAGGGTGGTAGTGTAGATATACCCTTAGAGTGAAGAGCACTATCTACAAAATTCTCAGCATTATTACTTTTTGCAGCACCTGAATTTTCTCCTGTTGTCTCCCAGCCAATTACTAACCAGAGCTAACCCTACTTAGCTTGTCAACACAGTGGAAAGAATAGCCTGGGCTAATTTAGGTGATAGGTAGCTTGTAAAGAAAATGCTGTTTATGCCACACATGTGAAAGTGCCAGGCTTGCTGCTGTGATATGGGGAACTCCCTGTTGGGTATTTCTTTAGGACCTAACATCTTTCATAGCTACCTAGAGAAATCTATTTAGCTATTTTTAATGCATCCACCCCCATAGTATCAGTGGTCATTGTTTGCTTTGTGCTGCTGGAGCTTTTGACTGTGATCTCTCCCATGCGGAACAAGTGTAAACACTCTTCTATGAGGTTCAGATGTCTGGGGGAGAACAATGCTGCTGGTTTCTTAGCAGGCTTTATGCTTGGTTGGTATATTTTCATTGTGTTCCATTCTTACTGCTGTGCTGAGAGCACAACCAGTCTAGTTACCTCTCTGAATGCAGCAAATGTTAAATTGTAACATCAGGGCCCCCTGAGAGATGATGCTGAAGGCAAAAGAGGAACAGGATGGAGCCCTACACTAGGGCCTTCAGTGTGAAGGGCATTGCATCATCTTGGAAACTTGTGCTACTGCACCATGGCTGGAGGGGACGGGACAGCACAATGGCTGATTTCTGAAAAATAAAGGTGGAATAAATGCTTAACTGGGCAAAGAGTCTTGTCTAGTTATCTGTGGTAGTTTCAATAAAATGGATCCTCAGAACCCTGAAGGGTTCAAAACCCTTCGTGTGTAATTGGAGAGACCCATACACTTCTACTGTGTATTAGAAAACAGAAGTATTAACCTACATAGAAATTACTTCCCCAGTACCTCTGGCATACACACACAACTGCAGTGCCCACCCACCCTCAGGCTTTGAGGCCAGCTTCCAAGATCTCTGAGCTTTTCACCATGGGCAACCCAGGTGCCCTTACTATGAAAATGACAATGAGTAGAAGAGAATTACTCAGGCTGTTATCATAACAGTGGTGCCCTTGCCCCCTTGCACTTAGACTGTGGGAGATATTAATTTTTAAATCAAGAAGTCCCCCAAATGACTGTGAAAGTGGGATGAGAGTAGAGAGTGAGATTGGGAGTGCCCATATACATACAACATGCCAGTGTTTGGTGAACGAGGCCAAATGCTTTGCTAAAGTGGAGAAGTCTGTTTTGTTTGAGCTGTTCCCCATCACGACTTCCCAGCCAAGCCACCTTCTTCCTCTGTGTTTCAAGGAGTCTGGCTCACGGGGTAATTCCCACATCCCAAACTTTGCATTAAAATTCAACAAAACAAAGCAGCTCAGAAGATCAGATATACACACCTAGGAAGAACGAGGGGGAAGATCTGCCCCTCCCCCAGAGAAGAGTTTTCTTTTTAATTATAAACTGTGGTGGGACTTACTGATGTTGGGGTCCTCTCCAGCATGCACCATTTGTCTGCTGAGCTGATAGCTTACTGCTGCTATCTGCCATCTCTTAGTCCCAGCATCTCTGAAGCCTGATAGGTAGAGCCTTGCAAATCTGCAGATATCAGCTCATATTTGCAGATATGGATGCGGCAGATACAGATTTTGTATCTAGAACCTTGCAAATTTGTAGATGTCTGCTTTGTGGCTATCTACAGGGATCTACTGATGGACATGTATCTATACCTCAGCCCTGGAAATGAGAGGGAAGGTTCCGTAGCTTCCAAAATAGACTCAGCATGGCCTTCCCAGTACTCTCCACTAAGGCATATCTGCAACATGCCTGCTGCTACCACCCTACGTTATCTCCCGGTCTCCATCCTTAACTGCTCTAGCAGAAAAACAACACAAACTGGAAGAGAAAAATGATTAAAACAAGGGGAGGGAGAGCAAGGCCTGCAAGGGAGTGGGGCATTTGGGGTTTCCACCTTCCACAGCTAGATGACTGGGCCTCAGATCTTCAGATACTGTCACAAAGAACTGTGGCTCTCCCCTCCTAGTAGTCTGTAGTCCACATCACAAAACCACTCCACAGTTTATTATTGTTGGAATAGCTAAAGATGCCCCAAGACTAGGGCACAAAGGCAGGGGGAACTGTGAATCCGAATTCCTTGATTGCATGAGGTGAAGCTAAGTCTGTAATATTAGGTTATTATGCTTTTTGGAGGTTGAAGTGGACCACCATCATGAGGACCCCCTAAGGATTTCTGTTTTGTTTGTGCTTTTCCCATACGCAGGGGCTTGAAGCTGCTGCCCAGAAGGCACAGGTCTGGGTTACTTGATGCAGAGGTTTTTCTCTCTCTTCCTCCCACCACAGGGGGGCACTGCACTCCCCTGACTAGAGTGAGGGACTGAGAGTGGTGCTAAAAGCCACATCTCCTGAGTGGTTCCCATGTGGGGTGACTGAAGCCAAGCCTTTCATTTGCTGAGTGTGTTGTATGGACCCTCTGCTCACTTGGTGCAGGCCTCATTTGAGAGGTAAAGGGGGGCAGCACATCGCCCCACAAGCAGAAGCCTGGGTGGGAAAGCCTATGCTATGTTTTTTTTCTCTGGAGAGGGGAGAAGAGCATGCAGCTGTGTTTTGTGCTGGGGAGGGAGGCTTTGCAGTACAGACTCTTGTCTGTAGAGGTTGCTCTGATCTTTCTGGGCCAGCAGCACCCTGCTTGCCTGTTCACTTCCCAGACCAACAAAGAGGGTAGGCCAGCAAGGCTGTGAGGAGCCTCCAGAGAAGAGCTGGGCCTCTGAGAAAAGATGAGTCAGGTGGGTAGGAAAGGAGCTGGCCAAAGGGGCTGGGTGGAGCTTAGGAGGGAGCACTGGGGGATTGTGGACTGGATTACTTGGGGTGAGGGGGAAAGCGAGTCAGGATCAGGTTGTGTGAGAGGGCAGAAGAGTGGACTGTGGAGAGCACCTGGAGAAGTGAAAGGCAGGAGCAGAGGCAGATTAAGATTGATTGGTGCCTTGAGCACAAAGAACAGTGGGACCTCATATCCTGTGGGTCCCGGGCCATGCCCCCAAAGCAGGAGGGATTCAATAGGGGCAGCCTAGCAGTAGGAACTGGGTGCAGGCGCTGAGTGGACCAGGTGGAGTGTGGTGGCCACTGACGCTAGGCCGGTAACAGTGGGAGCTTCCCCAAAGGAGTCTTTCCTGCACAGCTCCTCGCTGCCTGTGCCCTCCCTGCTGCCTCTTTGCAGAGCCTGTATGCAAGGCCTGGGGAGGGAGCAAGAGGCCAGATTGGAGCCCCACCTAGGGTCCCACTTGCAGCAATATGGTGTGAGGGACTGCTCTTAGGCATCCCAGTCTCCGCTCAGGGCAGGTGAAGGGTTTGGAGCTTCCCACAACAACCTCATGCTCCCCGAGCTGCTCTTACCACTGCTCAGCTTCTAATCTGACCAGAGGGCAGGGCTTAACTTTGAAGAGAAGAGAGGAGCAGTGTGCGGCAGGGCTTAGCTTTGAAGAGAAGAGAGGAGCAGTGTGCTAGTGACCTACACTTCCTAATCTAGGTTCTGGTGCCTGGGGGCCCCCACATTGGCCAGGACCCCTGGACATGGGCCCTGTGAATTAATCTGCCATAGGGTAGGAACAAGGTCAGGAAGGGAATAATGAGATGTTGAGACCAGGCGGGAAGAAGGTGAGTGTTTTGGGAGAAGAAGGAGAGAAATAAGGGTTTGGAGGACAGGGAGAGTCTCAGTGGAGAAGTAGGAAAGATGCAGTGGGGAGAGCGTGAGAGAAAAGAATTAAAGAGTCTATGGGAAGAGAGCAAAAAGGTGTTTGGAGTGAGATTGGGGAATTCAGAAGTGTGCTGTGGCCACTATATCCCAGTGGGGTGAACATCAACCTGAAGTTGGTCCTGTGGAATTTCTGCTGAGGGAGGGAGCCTCCCTGGCAGGTACAGTGTTGTTTGCTCCCACACCAGAATCTCTGTCACGGGACAGAGGGGTGGTGGCCAGGGCCATCCTGTGCCCTGGCATTTTCCTGGCTGTTGCCTACTGGATGGCCCACAGGAATCCTGGATAGCTGGATGCTGTTTTACTACACTGCAAGCATGTTAGAAAAGTTATAGATTCACATTTCTTAGAGCAAGTAGACAACCGTGATCATTATCCAACTGCCTGCATATTACAGGCCATCACGTAAGACTGCAAGAGCCCAGTGACAGGTGGTTGAGCTACAGCATGTCTTCTACAATTTTGATTCAAAGAGTACCCACCACATTCCCAGGTAAGTTGTTTCAATGGGTAACTACCTACATTCTTATTAATTTTTGCTTTATTTTACATTTGAATTTTTTTAGCTTTAGCTTTCAGCCATTGGGTCTTGTGCCTTTGTCTGCTTGAATAAAAGCATGTCCGTTATCCTCTCCCAGTTT